CCCCCCCAAACAAATGGGTGTTAAACTTTTCAGAATACTTTGGTTCTTTTTGAAAATCAAAAGGACTTAGAATTAGCCTGGGTGGAACGGATTTTAGTTGCCTTCAGAGTTCCCATATGGTCTGGTTTCAAAGCTTCCTGTATTTGCTGAATTTTTCCCTGTGCCCTTTATATTTCTTTGTGCAAATTAACTAGAGAATGCTATTACGTCAGTCAGGAGCTTAATTGTGTTTCCCTTTCCTTTTATAGTTTCATGCTGTTTGACATGGATGGTCATCAAGTTCCTCAAAATACAGTTGTTCAAGTTGGAGATGTATTCAAGAAAATCCTCAGTGAGGTTGGTCTTTAATTTTAACTTGCTCACCAATGCTATGCTAAGAATTTTTGAAAGAGAACAATGATGATTATTTGTGTTGTTAATGCAGACTGAGAAAGTGAGGAATGAGCACAGTCATGACTTGTCGGTTCTTCAAGCAATATCTATTGTACTGGACAGGCATCCAGAGTTGAGGTATGAAGACAAAGTGCTTCTCATATGACCTGCTATTGTCTGTTGAATGTGGAATATAGTTATATGTGCACATACATATTGAGTTATTTGTGCTGCAGGCAAGAAGGACTTTCCCATGAGGTGTTGCAATGGTACATATGCAGAATGGAGGCATGGTTTGCTGCAGATGCAGACACGATCTCTCTGAAAACCTGGGATCAGGCAAGTGTTCTTTCATTTATTGTTACTAAAACAGTTTATTGGTGTTTGATGCAGTTTCTAGTTTCATTATCTTGCTCAGTTGAGGTCTTATTTCGACATATACAAACTTCCAAAGGAATAAAACAGGGCTTTACAAGATATAGCTAGCAGTAGCTTATTTTGACTTATTCCCGCATAGCCAATTGGCACAACCATTTGATAGATATATCCTTGAAAATATATGATAAATTGAGTTTTTGAGCAATATTGATGGTTATATATTGCATGCAGGAACAAGTTCTCACTGGTGGTCATGGACTTATGGTGCAAGGCTACCACCCAGTCATAAAGGCATTATCAAAAGACATCGATATTCGTTTAAGTCACAGGTGCGCATTGGGTCTTCTAAAACGTGGAAGTGCTACTTTTTTTTCTTTGTTCTCTATCTCATCATACTCTTATCAAACTCACATTGATGCAGCTACAATGACTGTTAAACCACAGATGAATTTTTATATTCCTATTTCTATTATAAGAAATGAGGTCACCTTTTTTGTACTTTGTGGTTACTTGATTTCTGAAGAATAGTAAGACAAAATGTTATTCCTTTCCTCAATGGAGAAATAATTTTCATGTTACACCTCAACAGCCTATGATGAATATCTCTCCTGTCTTTCCTCCATAGTATTTTCCAAAGCATTTTCCGATTAAGTAGTTTCCAGTTATTCTCTAGAAACTAATTGGTTTGTATGGATTTACTAGGGTCAAGAGGATTACAAATGGGTATAACAAGGTGATGGTTACAGTTGAGGATGGGAGGAATTTTGTCGCGGATGCTGCTATTATAACTGTGCCTCTAGGTGTTCTTAAAGCCAACTTGATTGAGTTTGAACCAAAATTGCCAGAATGGAAGCAATCTGCAATAGCAGATCTTGGTGTAGGCAATGAAAACAAGATTGCATTACGATTTGATAACGTATTTTGGCCGAACGTGGAATTGTTAGGTGTTGTTGCACCTAGTTCATATGCTTGTGGTTATTTTCTTAACCTCCACAAGGCAACAGGACATCCGGTCCTTGTCTATATGGCTGCTGGAAGACTTGCTTGTGATCTTGAGAAATTATCAGACGAATCTGCTGCTGAGTTTGCAATGCTGCAGCTGAAGAAGATGTTCCCCGATGCTACTAAGCCTGTAAGTAATTTCTGCTCCTACACAAAGTGAGTTATAACTCTAAGCTACGGACATGCATGAGAAAGGACTGGATTTTTAAAGTGTTGCACCCATGCTAATTTACTTTGGTCTATATTTGCTTCAATTGTTGAGTGCACATTTCATTTTTGATCATTACAGTTTTGTAATACAGTAGCTCATTTACACTTTAATCCAAGAAGGTAAAAAATCATATGCAGAAGAGCGAAATATAAAAATAGAAGGATAAATGAGGAAGCAGCTCCATCAGCTGTCATTTTCTTTAATTTCTTATTCTGGCGATGAAGTTTTTCTTTCTACACAGATTACAGAAGGGAAAGTGATGCATTTTCCCTTTTATTGATTACCAGCAAACACCTGCATCTGCTTATCTAACACTCCTATAATGTAAACCTTGTTTAACTGATAGAAACAGATAGTAGTTGTGCTGGTAGTTAATCATCTGGTACATTGTACAGGTTCAGTATCTTGTATCTCGCTGGGGTACGGATCCGGACACCCTTGGATGTTATTCTTATGACTTGGTTGGAAAGCCAACTGATGTGTACGATAGGCTTCGAGCACCATTGGGTAATCTATTCTTTGGAGGGGAAGCTGTGAGCTCGGATGATCATCAGGGGTCAGTCCATGGTGCGTATGAATCTGGAATTATGGCTGCTGGAAATTGCCGCCACCATCTCATCAAAAGACATGGAAGTCTGGAAATGGTTCAGGCTAATTCCTATAGGGAGGAAATCCTTGAAACCGCAGTTCCTCTCCAGATTTCAAGAATGTGATATGCATGCAACTGTGAAATAAAAGATTGTCTAAGTTTGAATTTGCAAGTTTCGTTTCACTGAACTTTTGCTCAAGCAGTTTGTCCAGTGTCGTACTGTTATATAAACGAATTATTATCTGAACAGGATTTGCAAGTTTCATTTCAAGTCACTTAGGTATTGTGTTCCAGCTTGTACTTTTACTTTATCCGTAGATTAATTTACGTATAAATAATGTTGTCTCCCGTTCAACTGAAATGCCAATTGTATCAAAGCTTTCAAATTGACCATATTGAGAGTTTTATTCGTACTTCTATTGGAACAATAAGTTGTTTATGATGTTTTCATTATCCTTGAACAGTAAAGTTTGGACTGCAATGGATTCGACGGGGGTATGTATTACGTCATGAAATGAAATACTGTAAATAATCTACTCCAAATTAGACCAGAAAATTATAACAAACTCATATAGTTGAACATGCTAAATTGCTAATAACCATAAGTCCTCTATGTTTTTCAATTTTCCATATAGACACTCAAAAAAAAAAAAATTAAGTTACTATGATCTCCATACATTTGTGTCCTGGTTCCGTAGTTTGAAACAGGAAGTATAGTCAGAAGTTCTTTTTCATGAGTTCGAGTGATCACGATTAAACGTGCCCAAATATTAATAAAAATATAGAACCATGGAAATCTTCTTTCCGTAAACGTATTTAGTAGATTATCAACTTTTAGAGGATTCAGATAGACCGAATTCCATATGCACACACATGAATTTACACATTAATATACTATGATGACTATGCTCAGTATTAAAAATGTTATACTACATCCTATGCTGCTATGCACACACACTTTCTTTTGAAATAATCAGACCGTTAATTGCTATAAACTAAATTATCATTAGAGTTACTTAACTCTTAATTAGGAGTGTTCATGGTTCGGTTTGAGTCAGTTTTTCCCTAAAAAGAAATCAAATCAAGTAAGTCGATTTTTCAAATATTGGAACCAAACCAAACCAATTGAGTCGGTTTTTTATCAATTCGGTTTTTGTCGGTTTTTCAGTTTTTTCGGTTATTTATCGGGTTTTTTCTTAAATATGAGACATACACTACAAAACGCATATTCCGGCGACTACATTTTCAACGTAACACTATCAAATCAATTGCTATTTGAGAAATCTATCATTTTCAAGATATATTGATGATAATTGAATCAAACGGTGATGAATAATTTAAGTACTCAATTAAAAATCGATTATTTTTAACATGAAATAAATTCTTGTACTTAGTAAAAGAAAACTACCAATCAAACTAGAATGTAAAGACAAAAAATTAGATAATTATAATAGCAAAGAACTAGACTAAAAATACAAATGACTAATATGTACAATAAAATTTTAGAAACTTTATATAAAAATATACATATATATAGGGGTAATAATAAATTTAAATAGCTACTTTTATAGTCGGTTTGGTTCGGTTTTTCGGTTATTTTTTGATTAAAACTAAAACCAAACCTAAAAAGTATCCGTTTTTTTGGTCGGTTTGGTTCNCATCAAAAGACATGGAAGTCTGGAAATGGTTCAGGCTAATTCCTATAGGGAGGAAATCCTTGAAGCCGCAGTTCCTCTCCAGATTTCAAGAATGTGATATGCTTGCTTGCTGTGAAATAAAATATTGTCTAAGTTTGAATTTGCAAGTTTCGTTTCACTGAACTTTTGCTCAAGCAGTTTGTCCAGTGTCGTACTGTTATATAAACGAATTATTATCTGAACAGGATTTGTACTTTTACTTTATCCGTTGATTAATTTACACATAAATAACGTTATGTCTCCCATTCAACTGAAATGCCAATTGTATCAAAGCTTTCAAATTGACCATATTGAGAGTTTTATTCGTGCTTCTATCGGAACAATAAGTTGTTTATGATGTTTTCATTATCCTTGAACAGTAAAGTTTGGACTGCAGTGGATTCGACGGGGGTATGTATTACGTCATGAAATGAAATACTGTAATATACTCCAAATTAGACAAGAAAATTATAACATACTTGTTTGAGCAAATATTCGCTAAACTAATTAATAGCAAATTAGTAGGGTGAATCCTAGTTGAGCTTAATAAATTCTAGACCAAATATAATAAGATTCTTGTGTAGTAGGAAAAGTATACAAGCATTAATTAGTGTGTTCAATATATTATGATAGACGAGAGATATAATATCATAAATGTGTAATGAATGCAAGAAATGATGATGGTTATAGTATAAAGGGATTGTCAACCAATAATTGCGTGATTGGGTGTCTCCTTTTTCTGATGGTGTGAAGGGATATGCAGCCAATATGAATGTGGAATCTTCAGATTTATGGATGAAAATTAAACAACATGTGCTTGAATAAAGCGAATGAGACAATTCTCTTCTCTCTCACTCATTTGGCTTTACAATATATCTCTCAGTTTACAAAAGGCAAATCCCCCTTTTTTGTTCACTATCTCCCCTATTTATAAGGGTCATTTCCCGAAAAACTCTAAAAAGTACAACAAAAGGAATATCCAAAAGGCATATTCTTCCTGTCTCTTCCTAAACTTAAACAACCGTTGCTGTCTTATTTCAACTGCCCGCTTTCGGTCGTCGTCCTCTATCACAACGACTTTTAGTCGTTGTTTTGTGGGGACCCCGTCTCATGCCTTGCTTATCCGTTGTCGTAGTTGCCAAATTTGGGCCTGTTAGTCCCTTCGCTTGTTGGGGTAGTGGCCCTGCACGTCCTTAATAAGTGGACATTGTCCGTTTCCGTTGGAGAATTTGGCCGTTTAAACTGCGCCGGTTAAGCCAAGGTCGAGGGAGCAATACATTCCACGGAACCCTGGTTGAAGTAGTTTATCGAGATCTGACGTCACTCCCACGTGTGTCATCATTACGCACCTTCCCGAGACAGCGTCTGATTGCTTGTTGCTTTGGTTTTAGCGCCATTGGCGGTCTTCCGCTTCGATTCTCGCACTATCTAACCCTATAAATAGGTGAAGGTTTTGGTTTTTCATGAACTTTTAGCCATTTCCTTCCTTGTGTATGTATTGCCTCCTCTGGTCATCCTTTTTAGTTTTTTAGCTCAATTCTGGTAGCTCTGTTTCTCGTCTTTCCGTTCAGGCACTGCTATTTATTCTAGGTTTACCAGCACACTCCTTAATACCAAGATGCCTCGAACCCACCATGCACGTGATGAGGATTCCGACGCCACACCGTTGCCTATGGCCCTTCCTTCCGGTAGCGAGGATGTAGCGGTTGAGGAAGGAGATAGTTTCCCCACCATAGAGGAGATACTCCCCAGAAAACCAATGTCCAGGAATGATTTCCACAAGGAGCCTGTCCCTTCCCCCGCTCCGGTGATCTCCGAGACCGGGCCAACTCAAATAAATGAGCTCTGGTTTGCGTACAATATTCCTCCTCATGTCGAGATGGTTCCAGCTAGGGAGGACCTTGTAGAGGTCCACAGACCGGGATACTGTGCCTTTTATGTATATCCTTTTGTGATTGGTCATACCGCCCCCTCTTCTTCCGTTGGTGGAGGAGTTCTGTTGATTCTACGAAGTTTGCCCGGTGCAGCTATCCCCGTATATGTATAAGATTTTTCTGGTGCTGACGAAGTACGCAGAATTGGCTGGGTGTGAGGTCGTTCTTCACCATCTTTTATATTTATTTTCCCCGAGTTTTCATAGGAGTACCATGATACATTTGCGACATCGTGGTACCATGGGGTTGGTGGTTGAGACGGACGATAGGGCAAACCAAAAATTTTGGCATAAATATTTCTTCATCAAAACGGAGCACTTGGTCCACTTGGAGCAGTGGATCATAACCGTAAGTGTTACTAGCGTACGCATGTTGTTTACTTTCGTTCTTTCTAATTTTTATTTACCTGTGGCTTCTTTGCACAGCTGAGAGGTGTGCACCCTTTCCCTTCATCAGCATCGAGGATTGGGTAGCTCGTGTGTTACCTCACGCGGTGGGGACTTGAGATTGTCCAGCCTTCCTTAAACGCTTTGGGCCGAAAGTTCCGTCTGGTAAGTGTTTCTTTTGTTACGATCCTTGGTTGTTTGCCATCGTTTATTGATACGACTTCTTTGTGGTGATAGGTCATAGGACTTCCAAGAAGAAGGCTTCGGTCCTGGCATTTCGCTAGGCCGTCGCATCGGCGGGGATGCAATTTACCTTAGCTGAGTCCGCCCGAGAGGGTCGTACTCAAATTGCACCAACAAGGGATTCTCCTCATGACGTCGTTATACGGGATGAGATCTCCTCTCGGCCTGTCTACCACCTTGTGGATGAGCCTTCCAACGGGGATATTCCGTCGAGGAAAAGGAGGAGGGTGGAGCTCGGGAAGGCCGTCGCCACCGATCTTAAAAAGAAAAAAGTTGATGCTTTGGGAGTGGAGCCCTCGTCAAGGTCAGGAACATGAGCCGTTTTTATGGCGGACGCCATTTTGGCTGGGAGGTCCCCTAGGGCTGAAGGGGTATGCCAAGGCGGGGGATCTGTACGATCTACTGAGGGTGGCGTGTCGTCTGCTGTCGGAGGGGGTGGAGTGGTGCATGTTGAGGACGACGGTCCAGGTTCGAACGTCGATCCAGAATATGTACGAGCTTTCTCAGAGCATCATACTCATGTGGAAGTGAGGATGGAGGGTCCTGACCGACACATAGTCATCCCCGTGGATTACCACTTATTGGCGAATTCCGAGATCGTCGGCGTTTTCCCCCTTGTGCACTGCTTCCGAGAATGCGGCGCTTACAGCGATGAGTGATGTAAAGCTGTCGCGGAGTATTTCCGGCATAGCTTTGCGGGTAAGTGTTTTTCTCTCTTCTTTTTGTTTTTGAATTCGTTTTGTATACCTGATCTACTCAAGCCGACTTTCTTTCCTCTGCATGTTAGACCCTCATCATGGAGATCGAGCGCGATCAGAGGGATAGACGGAAGACGGCCGTTTTTGGGAAAGTGGCCTCTAAATACAAGGAATACTGCACCAAGCATCGTGCATTGGCCAATCTTTTTACTCAGGATAGCGATTTTCAGCTGTTTCGTGACAGGCTTAAGTAGAAGGAGAAGCAGTTGGTGCAAAAAGTCGAAGAGCTGAAAGAGTGGGACAAAGAGGTGGTGAAGGCCATTGCCCAATATAGTGAATTTGAGGCGGCTCTTAAGGCCAAGGAAGACGAATGTGAGGTGATCAAGGGGGTGATGGCCGAGGACGCCGATCTTCAAGTGGGGATGGCTACCTTAACTGCTGAGGTTGATAGAAGGGCAGCGGAAGCTGTCGACCTG